TTCACAGAAAGTCCAAGCGCTTTTCAGTTGACTGCCTCTGTTTTGGGTGAGTCCACTCATGTGAGGCCTTTAAGGGCCATTTCTCAGTTTGCTGTAGTGTTGTGGGTCTTGTGGGTCTTGTGGACGCAGGTCCCATTGCCTTCCAAAGCTAGATGTTTTGAGGGCTCGCCTCTCAGGTGCAGGTCTTAAAAGTTGGGGTGCCCGGTGTGGGGGTCCAAACCTTTTGCTCCTCAAGGAGAAGCTCCAGGTTTTGAGTTCTTTCCTGATGAGGGGGTCATCACTCCGGGGGTGAGGTTTATGGTGATAGTGTGTCTCAGCCTCTCCAACCCCCTTCCATGTTTTTTTTTTCTCATTTGCCCAATGTGTAGGAGTCGCTTAGCTAGTTTTTGGGGTTTTTTCTGGAGGAAATTATTCCATATGTAGCTGTAGATTTGGTGTGTCTGTGGGAGGAGGTGAGTTCAGGATCTTCCTACATTGCTATCTTGAATTGGAACACTGAAAGAATTAATTTTTAACAGTCAATTTGTAATACTGGTCACTAGGGATATTTGGGGACTTGAGATTCCTCCTGTTGCCTCTTACTCTGGGACAGCTATCAGTTCTCCCCCTCAACTATCCTAAATCCAAACCTTAACAGTTTCCAAATAATTTTAGCTAAATTGAAGAGGTTTTGCTTTAAGCTGTATGCCACTTTGCAAAATAGTAATCTCCATAATTAATTTTAGAAAGATGCAACAAACCGTACCCTCTTTCTGCATCCCTCAGCTACAACATTTTCAATTTGTAGTAAAATATATTAACACCATACTCAGCATAAATATTCTTTCTCAGCAACTTGTCTACACCCTAATGGTAATTTTCAAGATAATGCTTTCCTTTTTGTCTAGTACTTTACAATTTACAAATGTTCTATTTTCTCAGAAGTTAGATCTACATCATCCTACCCTGTTAAGGAAGGAATTAACAAAAAGATATTAAGTGACTTTTGTGTAACTCCAGACATTTTCCCTAGAACATCCCTCTTGATAAAGAATCTTAAAATTTTTAGACAACCTCTTGCTGGAATGTGCCAACTTAGCAAGGCAGCTTTTGGAGTTAGGATTGTGGTTTTTGTCCCTCATCTCTGATAGTCTTTCTTTCCCTTTCCTGTCCTACTTGTTCAAGGAAAGGGAAAAGCCATGTGAGTACTGGATATAAATGCTGCTTGGCCCTCCTCAGCAATACAGACTCACTGGGAGCATCACCCGCTTTCAAACTAGGTAGTTGTAAGCTGATTAATCCGATTGTAAAATATGCTCCACTCTGCTCTTTCCCATCTTGAGTCCTGCAGGTCTCGAGTCACTCAAATCCCTTTCAGAATTCAAAACAGAAAAACACGCAATTTATACATGAGCAACAAATATTGTTTAATAGAATCTTGCACATACTGAATTTTGTTCTAAAACACCTACCATGATGAAACATCTACCCTGGGGCTCTTCTCTCTGAAACGGTTCAAACCTCTCTGGCAGGTTCAGATTACATTTATTATTGGTATAATTTTAGCCTGATCTAAAACTACTGGGACCTTTTAATTTTTTTTTTCATTAAACAAATTTTCATTACCTCTAAAGCACTGCTTTGCCAAGTCTTGAAATCACTTGCTCTTTCTGAATATCCTTGGGCTGCTTTCAGTAAGATAACTTTTTAAGTAGCTTAGAGAGACATGAACTGGGTTTTTTTGTTCGAATGACAATTATAATATTAGTCTTGATTGCAAGTGAACTTTCATCTGATTCTGTGGCCTCAAGGACAGTCTAGTTCCCAAAGAAATAAATCTGTCAATACTTTTTTTATTCAGATCAATGTTACTTTAATTGAAAATATTTACTTTATAAAATGAGCCAACTCACTTTTGACTACACATTTAACATGATGGGAAGATGGAATTTTCCAGGAAAGTGGCCAAACAGGTTCAAAATATCTTATATATCAAGGCAGGTTGCTTTTTGATTTGCTCTGATGCCGGGCCTCTTGCATTCAACTCCCAGCTCCAGTAGTTACGTGTTCAATGACCTTAGGTTTATTATTAGGTAACCTCTCTGGCCTTCCACTTCCTTGTCTGCAAGTGGGGATGGTAATTACCCCTTCATTATTTGGCGTGGATTCATTGAGCTGCTGTAGGTAAAGTAAGAACTTGGTTTTGTAATTCTACTTTTGTCTAAGCTTTGCTGTTAAGTCTTCAAATAAGAGCCTGATTATTTTCTTTTAAAGGCTTTTTTCAAAAAAAATCTATTAGTCTGTAGATTTATTTCCCAGTATGCCAAAGAAAGCAGAGAGATTGAATTATACAAGCATGAAAAAGAAGAATCCTTTTCATGTGCATTATTGATGTTTGATTATCCCAAAGTGATGTGCGCAATATAAGAAAGCCACTTTTTATTATGTTTGTCTAAGGTTAGATTACATAATTATTTGAAATCATATATTTATTGGTTTTCTGGATAAGGCTAAATGTGGGACAAAGGAGATAGTGATCTGTGAGATTAGGAAGAGAGAGGGGACATCCTCATCTGTAGATAAAAGAAAATTGACTACAAATACTTGGTAGGGCTCTGTAAGTAGATGATTAAACATTTTATTCTCAGTTACTAAAGTTTGATTCCAGATTTCTAAAGAATGTATATTTGCATAAGGCTTCAACTGTGAGTTGATATGAATGTGGAAGAAAGAACAGATGGAAAACATTTTTAAATGATGTTAACCAAAACTGGTAATAGTGATTATATCTTTGTAATATAACTGCAGATGATTTTTTTCTTTTTTAAGATGTTTCTGCATTAGTAAAATTTCATACAATTAATATATATTACTCTATAATCAGAAATAAAGTTGGCAATCCTAAATTGACAGTTATACAAAAAGTTGAAAGTGTACAGTTTTAGAAGCACATTTATTGGGGTTTGTTTGTTTGTTTTTAGGAAGACTAGCTCTGAACTAACATCTGTCAATCCTCCTCTTTTTGCTGAGGAAGACTGGTCCTGAGCTAACATCCGTGCCCATCTTCCTGTTTTATATGTGGCATGCCTACCACAGCGTGGCTTGCCAAGCAGTGCCATGTCCATACCCAGGATTCGAACCGGCGAACCCTGGGCCGCCAAAGTGGGAATGTGTGCACTTAACTGCTCTGCCACCAGACCAGCCCCTAGAAGCACATTTATTGTTAAAAAAAAAAAACAACTTGGGGCATAGTGGTTACTTCAGCAGCCCGAAGTTTACTGATTTGAATCCTGAGTGTGGTCCTACACACCACTCACCAAACCATGCTGTGGCAGTGTCCCACATACAAAATATAGGAAGATTGGCACAGATGTTAGCTCAGGGAAAAAGAGGAAGTTTGGCAGTGGATGTTATGTCATGGAAAATCTTCCTCACCAAAAAAAAAAAAGCTTCATGCATCGGTGTTTCATGAGTTTTCACCTGTGATTGATTTTTTATTATTGAAACAAATGAATCACTTGACAATTTCAGGTTTTTTGGTATTGTCCCAGAATGAACGCTGTATACTTTGGGGTGTACTATTTCTTACAACATGCCCAAATTTATCTTAGAATCACAGAATGCTGGAGTGATAATTTAGTACTTTATAGAAGACCCAGTTCAGGGGTGCGACACTGATGACTTTGGTTCGTCGTTAGGCCCGCAGAGTACTGTAAAAGCCTGTATGACTAAGTAAATAAAATATGACTGTAACAAGCAGCATTAGTGTCCACAGTCTAACCTTCAACCAGATTCATAAATTTATGTTAATGCCGTGGCCCCGTGGGACATCTGAGATTGCAGTCCCTGACCTCATCCACCTCCCTCTCTTTGTCCATTTGGATAGTGACCTAGTTCCCTTCCCAACTCCACTCTTTCCAGTTTGGATTCCGAGGGCTCCCTCCCTTGAAACCAGATATTTAAATACTATCAGTGACCTGTAGTGCCTGCACATAAATATGAGTGTGGGAAAAAGCACTTATTGGCTAAGTTTAAGCATTGAAAATAGAATCAACAGCACTGGGATTGGGGGTGGTCTGTGTACCAAGGTGTGGGATAGATTAATCAGCCAATTTGAAGCAGAGACTTGATTATGATAAACAAAAATTAATAATCATCACTACTACTTATTAAGTGTTTATACGGCAGGAACTAAATTAGATGTGTTATATATGTCCTCTCGTATGATGCCCAGACAGCCTGTAAGACAGGTTAGTATTTTCCAGTTTTACAGGTGAGGAAACTAAGGCTTTAAAAGGGTAACTTGCCCAGGTCCCAAGCCAGTAATTGGGTCAGGTTTCCTTGTTATCTTTTCCGTGTTTCCCCACACGCACATTAAAGACTTGAACTACTAGACCATATGTCTTTTGGAATGACAGCCTAGGTTTGAAAAGAACCTGACACAATTTCTTCACTCGCCTCAGCTTTCTACTAGGGGCAAAATGTAATTACAACATTCAGTCAACATCTGTGTACTAAACTTGGAGGGTGGAGGAGCTGGGAAAGAATGTCAGGTGGAAGGGGACCCCAAACAGAGCCATTAGAAAACAAGGTGTTCAGCTGTGACGCATTCGAGCCCGGAAAGCCCACAACAGCCTCAAGTGGCACAGACTGTGAATGCTGAGGGGGCTCAGCGATGAGAACTTTGTGTTTGGACGTGGAAAATGATACTCGACTTCTATTTTTAAGGGAAGATTATTTGGTGTGATTGGGAAAGGGGGCATCCCTGATGCTTATTTTTCTTTCTCAAATGTCATAGCTGAAGATACAACTCCAAGTCTTGAAATAGAGCTTGGATTTCTGACTGATTTTTAGGAGGATCCAGAGTGTGCACCATGATTTATTTGTAATTTCTGGTCATGGAAAATATAGGCTGTAAGTCATTTGAACCAACAACTCCGGTTTTGGTTTTTTTGTTCATTTGATATTTCCCATCTTTTTGATCATACCGATTTTCAATTTATTTTGTCTTTTATTTTCAGAAGGAGTTTTGGAGCACCTACACAAAAGCGCAACAAGGGGAGAGTAACAGAGGAAGTGACTGGTTTCAGTTTTACCTTACCTTTCCATTAATCTTTGGCCTCTTCATTATCCTCCTTGTCATTTTCCTAATCTGGAGATGCTTCCTAAGAAACAAAACTCGTAGACAGACAGTAACTGAAGGCCACATTCCTTTCCCTCAGCACCTTAATATTATCACTCCGCCTCCCCCACCAGATGAAGTGTTTGATAGCAGTGGATTGTCACCAGGCTTTCTGGAATATGTAGTTGGGCGCTCGGATTCTGTCTCCACTCGCCTGTCCAACTGCGACCCCCCACCGACCTATGAGGAAGCCACTGGCCAGGTGAACCTGCGGAGAAGTGAAACAGAACCTCATTTGGACCCACCCCCGGAGTATGAGGACATCATCAACTCCAACTCAGCCAGTGCCATTGCTATGGTGCCTGTGGTCACCACCATCAAATGAAACTGCAAACTTCTTTTTACTATAATCATTTTTAAAATACTAATGAAAGAACTTTCTAGCACTTTACCACTACATAAATGTGCATTGACTCATTTGATTGGACTCTGACAGCATACCACATTTTCTGATTTGATTTTCATTAGTTTTATTTCCTACTATAAAATTATTATCCATGCTCATTTTTGCTGATGGAAATAGTTAAGAGGGAAAAACATACTAGTGGACATCTTCATGTGATGAGATATATATGTGTGTGTGTACATGAGCCAAGTATATGTGCAACTGTCTTAAAAGGCCATTAACTTCTGTCTAAATCACCTGTAAAGAGAACATTACTCACCAAAATTGGAAAAAAAAGGTACCAACAATTTGTGTAGTAGATAGCCAGCAACATGCTGTTGATTTTTGAAAATAGGATGAACTTAGCACGTTTTCTAATTCTTACTGGCTTTTGTTAACCTCCTCCTTCTTCAACTACCTTAAAAGGAAAAAAAAAATGCAAGTAGTCCATCTTGATTTTAGGACCATCTCAGAAAGAGAAGACAGACACAATAAACAACTTGCTTATAGTGTATAGCAGGAAAATCAGTGGTCATTAGTGGCCTTTGGCCAGTTTTGTAGGAGGGATGATTTTGTTGTTGTTGACTGCCTCCTCTCCCAAATTAAACAGCATTTGCTTAACATCTTTGAATGTCTCATGCTATTTGTATTAACATCTTGATGGATAGGATTTCCTGGCAACAGAATAATTTCTCAAGTAGATATATGCATTAATGGTAGAATAGATAGAGATCTCTCCTTTGCTCATCAATTTTTGGTGACAATTATTTTCTTCTCGCTGTTTCCTTGCATTTTACTCTGTCTACTCTCTCTCTTCCCACCACAGAATCTTCAAGCACCTAAGAGTTTAGTTAAAGTAAAACTCTTGAAATTATTTTCTTAATGTTTTTGTATAGACTGAAACCTGCCTCAAGATGAGTAGGAGGCACTTTCCCATTAAATTAACAACTGTGATTTTTATATTGCTCTCCAGTTGTTGGAGGAAGATTGCAAAGTCTGTGTTGTGCCAGGTGCACAATAAATCTAGTTATAGCTTCACATAGATCTCATTATTGTTGCTATTTCATTTTGTATTTTCATCAAAGATTTTTTTTAACTGAAGGATTTTTATGTTTCTCTTGGAGCAGAGGGAACAGGCTGTGAATGAACTGCCAACATAAACCAGCTCAGAAAGAAAAAATAAGATGGTGGTTTTGTATGAAGTTCCATTATGTATGCACTGATCGAAAATTCATCATATTGGTCACTCTCAAGACTGCTCAGTGTTGGATAAAATGGTTGAGGAGGCAGAAGGAATGCAGGTTTCAGAAGTGTCATACCCTACTGCCTCCATCTCCAGCCCCACCAACCCTTCCCCTAATCCTGCCCTGGAACCCAAGGAAGGAGGAATGCTGGGGAGAACCCTAAACTAGGAGTCAGCTGACCTGAATTCTAATCCAGTTCTGCAATACACTTGCCATGGTAACTTGGGAAAGACCCATATCTGACCCTCAAATTCCTCACCTCTAAAACAGTGATAATATTATTCATCCTGCCTCTCTCCAGGGGCTTTAAAAGGATCTAATGAGATGGTGTATGTGAAAGTAATTTGTAAGATGTGAAGAGCTATCTAGTTCTAAAGTCGTAGCATTGTTCTTATTGTGCTTAAGGAGAATTTTCTCCCTCTGTGTCCCTAAAATTTTTCAGAGCTTTCACATAGTGAGAAATAGAGTAGACTGCTCCATACACGGCTAACATGTTCCTAATCTGAGTGTGGGGGCTATTAGTTAAACTCCTGTCATTCTCTGGGCTATACCAAGGCTGTGCCAACTTCAAGACAACTGCCAGCTCAGCACAAACAGGATTAAGTAAATGTTGGAAACTAAGATGTGTGTGTTTAGTTAATAGCTTTTGTAGCTTTCTTGGGTTAAAAATGAGTAAATCTTGACCCTGATCTCAGCAGAAATGACAATATTGTTTTGAATTTGGCCATGAATACATGGTGACCTTTGGCTTCTAGTTAAACCTGAAAGGGCGAGTGTTTGACCCAGCAACTTGTGTGTGTGTGTGTATATTTGGGGTTATTTTTAAATGAAAATTAAGGTTCCTTTTGTGTGGACTTTTTTTGGTCATTAATACCAAGCCTTAGATTAGACCAGCAGTTTTCAAAGTGTGGCCCATAGACTCCTGGGAGTCCTGGAGAGCCTTTCAGGGGATCTGTGAGATCAAAACTATTTTCACAATAATATTGTCTTTTTCACACTCTCTCAAAAAGTAGTTGAAAATATAAAACAATGCCATCTCCCCACAAATCTTTTTTCTGATTTAGAAAATATAGCTATTTTCTTAAAAATGTTATGTTAGCACATAATGGACTTTTTAATTTTTAAATGAATAAATACTTTTAAAATTTTCAGTTTTATTTTCTGTGTCAAATACTGATAGATATAAACTCCATAAACAAAAGCTCTTTGGTATCCAGATCCCCCATAAATTTTAAGAGTTTAAAGGGGTCTGGAGACCAAGTGTTTGAGAATTACAGAATTAGACAAAGGAGCAGGATGTTCTCTTACTAAGTATATATTCTTGCAACTTTATTTTACATTTTAAACTCCTGATATTGGATTTAATGCTGCCTCTTAGAGATACCTGAATTGTAGTATAAGAATGAATGTTGATCCTTGCAGCAAAAGCCAAATGCTTAAACTGATCAATGACTACAGCTTTTTAGACTGTCAAAGAAAACACTGCTCCATAGTGATAACTGGCATCAGCCACAGGTCTCATGGTGGCATTTGCGTGATAACGACAGGATAAACAAAATACCACTTTCTTCAAGAAACATTCTCTTAGATTGGTTTATTTTGTTTGATTTTTGGTTTGGGTTTTACATTTTTAAAAACCCTTTTGCTATCCCATCTGGTTTTATAAACTGAGTTTCTTAACATTTGTTATAATTAAAGGGGCTTGTCTGGAATAATATATATTTTTTATGCTTTTGCCTTTCTTAACTGATTGATATTACATTCACCTTTGATCATTTTTAATAAAGGTTTATTTTTGCAGGATATATTTAGTACCTTTCTTAAACAGTAACTAAATTGAATCAACCACTTTGCATTTAAATCAAAGAATGGGCGTAATGGTCGTCCAGCAGAATGGTTTCTAAGCCTCCACGTGCAGTGGTTGTGTCTGGAACCCTAGAACTGGCACTTTCTGCCTCCCTGCTTTGAATGTCACAATGAATTGTATCTGTTTAAATTAAATGATTTCTTTTTCTCCTACTGACCAGTAGAAATACAGATGCTGTGTTTGATTCATTGTTAATGAAGACTGATAAAACTGATGATTGATGATATGATATGATAACTGTGGAGGTAGCTTTAACTTGGTTCTGTGTAAATAGCATGTATTTTATTATAATATTTCACATTTTTAAACACTTGGTTTACATTAAATTATGGTATTTAACTTTTTATGTTTATACTAGCTAAGGTTTTTCTTATGTTTCTGTGTTTTTGGTATGCTAAATAAAGCTATTTTTAAACCCAAGAGATTTCTTCTGCCACGTGTTAATTATATTATGGTTAGGTGCTAAACATGCTGCAGAAGCTCTGATTAATTATGGCCTTTTTAACAAGGTAAAATTATGTTTCTTTTTTTCTTATGAATTTCGGGGTTATTGCTCAATAAATCAGAAATTATCTGGTGAAAACCTTAGGGTGTTCTCAGCATAAGAAAGAACTTTCTGTACTACTTTTGAACGATGCTAGTATGATGATACAAAACAGGAACACTTGCTCCAAAGGGATCGATTGAGCTGCCTGCTGTAGTCTAGTTTGTCAAGTACTGGAATAGTGTTGTCTGCAGATACCAAGGAGCTGGGTTTTTCCTCCTTAGCAGAACAGCTTGTATTTGACATTTGAGAAGATGAGAAAAGAAAGCACAAGGTGGAAACATTTGTGACCACAGGGCATCATCCTAAGTGTAGTTACCTCAAAGACGAAAAGCTGATGTGACATGCCATTAACCAAGGAAATGTAAATATGACTTGATGTTTATGGTATAAAAAATTTAAATTATTATCATTTATATTTAAAATTCCTTCTTAACTATAAATCTGAGTATCCATTTTGTAAGCGTAAGTCCCCAGAGTTATCCAAAATGTCATAAAAAGGTACTTTAAAAAATACATAATTTCTAAAAAATATATAACTTACAGATTAATATAGACATAAAACTCAACCCTTAGATAAGACATTTCCAGCACCCAGAAGGCTCCCCTTATAGCCCTCTCCTTAAAGATAAAACTACTCACACTTATCATAAGAGATCAATTTTTAAAATTTCGTACTTGGTTGTGGCCATATGGACTTGCCTCTTTTCCTTTTTTAAATTCTTAAAGTATTTCAGAAAATTTCAAGCTAGAAGTTCCAGAGCTGCTCTTCCATTTCTTGGCCCTCCTTGAAATCACCTACTAGTTCTCTCTAAGCCTTTTCTACATACCTGAAGATTTTTGAGGGCAAGAATTCTGTTTAATCCTTTTAACTCTGTTCCCCAAATATATCAAATACCTAAAAATGGGGGCTTTTTTAAGACTATGAATTGACTAAAACATCAGCTTTCTGGCTGGTCTCCTGAATGCTTGTCTTTCTGCTGTAATTCTTATCGCCTGCCATTTCCTTCATCTTTGTATGATGATTTTTTGTTCTCTGTAATTTTATTTACTATGATTTTTAGATCTCAAACCCACTAGAATCTGGTCCGACAGACTTACCTAACCTTATTTCCTTCCATAGCTGATAGGATAGATACTTACAAAGTGCCTACCTTGTGTGAGACACTAAGGGGTTTAGGAAGTAGTGGTGCCGATAGCCCTTGACCCTGGGGTTTCACAATAAGATTAAGACTGGGATAACCTTCTAATCATCTAAACTATTGTAACCCTAATTCTGCTCCTGCTAAGAGATTCTTTTTGTGCTGAGTCCCATGGTGTTTACAGTCATCTTTATCATGCAGTCCTGTATATAAGTCTGTTGTGATTTTTATATGTTGTTATCAATGGAAACTAACTTTCAAAAAAATTTTCACAGGACCCTAATATATGAAACAGATGAGACTGTTGTGATTGACTACAGAAGTGGGAAACATGGAATCCCACTGTCTGACCTTCCTTGTCATTCCCCCTGACTTCAGGTCAGTCCAAGTCACCTCTGCAAACATTAGAATTTGATAAACATAATTAGAAGACCACTGTAATATAACATCTATTGATGTCCAATTTCATAGTCCCTCATCTTTACACACACACACACAAAATCTACAGAATCTCCTCCACTAACAGACTGCTGACAGTTGAAAATGCTCTTTTTAGTCCAATTGTTCCTAACTCACAAGTGTATTCCACTGGCCACCAACATACACTATCTATTCAATTCATGTTTGAAGAGAACCTTGGAGTATTAATAGTTCTGATTCTTTGTTTACATCTTTTCCATCATCACCATACTTGTTATATTTTCAATACTCAGTCCTTTTGTATTTGTGGGAAAGGATGGTTTTAATATACTCATAAACCATATTTTAAAATAAGCATAGAGTGACGTCAATGAAAATAGGAGTAGGGAATTCCAAAAGCATGTTCTTCC